GGCTATACCATTATATTCCTAAAATAAATACGGTTATAAAAGTAGCGTAAGCATAGTATTTGTTCGAATCAGAAGTATAAAATTCCTGGAAAGAAAAATGTATAGAAATGTAATGTATAGTGGTACATTAACAAATCAACGTGCATATATGAAGCATATTATATAGGTTATGATATAGGCTATATTATGAATATATAAACTATGTATATGTGTACTTATAACTGCACTATTAATCTACTATACCATTGACGCATAGGCCTACGTAGAAACATTTTTTGCAACTCTAATTTTTATCTTATCAATTTTATTAAATTCCGTGGTTTGTATGTTGATTTTGATCGAATAAATGAATGATTCGATATATATATATATATATATATATATATATATATATATATATATAAGAAAAATAAATATATATATAAGACAAATAAATACAACTTAAACACGTATACGTTTCTACTTTATATAACCTTACCCATTTGAATATGTGTATTTATAACTGCACTATAATCTACTATACCATCGAGACACGTACAAAACATTTTTTTGCGAGTCTGTTTTTCATCTTTTTATAAATTTTATTAAATTTCCGTGGTTTTTATGTTGCTTTTGACCGAATAGATATTATATAAGACACAAATACTTTATATAGGCTATATCATATATATTCCTGTAAAAAAACAAAGTAAACACGTATATGTTTCTACTTTGTATAAGGACCTTACCCATTTACTAATACAATTAGAATCAACACTTATTGTACATACTTTACAATCAGAAAGTGAAAAAAAAAAAAAGAATGCTGAAATAAAAAAGCAATGATATAAAGGTCGTAATGTAAAAAACATATGAACGTAAAAGTTCCTTATAGCTTGTTTAAGTGTCCCGGGTGGGAATTTAATGCTGGTATGGCGTTTTCTGTGGATTGTAGGTGGCATTTTTGCATGGGCGTTTTGTTCGACACTCGTCAGTCCGCTGACTGGCAGCCGGACACAGCCCGTTGTTGAAGAATAGTACATCGTAAAAGCGAAGTCTCTTCGTCACATACGCAGTCTCAGTATCCGAGTTCTAGTTTTCAAGTTTAAATTTTTGAATAAAAGCAGCTTATTGCATAAGAGTTTGAAATATGCTTAAGAAAATTACTATTACTTAAGCCTAAAATGTATTCTAGGCCTATGAAACCATACACACACCTTTTCCACGCACGTAGACCGACTTTTATAAGCAAGTTTTTCAAGTTTTTAACTGTAATTTTAGAAAATACTTTTTACAGTACACACTTTTATATGTACGTTTACATAAAGATGTGTAAATAAAAGAAAAAATAAACTCTGACTTTTCATTTCCTTTTAGTCTAAAAATGTTAATAAAGTAAAGCGAGGCACGATAATAATGTCTTGTTATCTATATTATAAATATGCATATTCCAAAGGACACAATGCAAAACAGAGGTAGGCCTACTTAATAAACGTCTGGGATTCGAAATCTAGGTCTACTGGTCTGAAAAAATCTAACAAAAAAGATCATCAAATTGTCGATCACGCGAAGTGATTACTATATATTTCAGATTAATTTAGGGAAAAATAGGCTTATGACTTTTGGCATCGTTTTTCACTAGACCGTAGCTGTTCGCGACCACATGTTGATTTTCCGCATTCGCTAAACCGTGCCTCTAATAGTAGTAATTTTTTTTGTGGAGGACAACAAGGTATAAGGATACCATCAGCATAAAGCATCAGTAATGTAACAAATATGTGTCACAGAGTACTACAGTGTTACGAAGCGATTAGCCACTCCCCACAATAAATCAACAATCCCTACGAGCAGACCTTGCATATAAACCAAACCCAAACAAAATGTGCAAACTTAAATATTGTAACAAAGCTGGATCTCCAAGCATAAAGTTTCGATATAAAATTAAATTAAATAAAACATCAAAGATATATCTGAAGCCCGGGGAAAGGAAACTATTGAAATAGTAGATAAGAACAACAATAAACAGAAAGAAACAACCTCTGCAATTATACACTCTACTTAAATTTATTAATCATGTTTATTACATTGAAGTTTCAATAATACATGAGCCAATTTAACACAATTGCCGGAACAATGAGTTTGGCACATACTCTGAATAGCTGGCAACTACTGTAAAAAAAAAATCAACAAACATCATAGCAAAATTTAAGTGAAACGTCTATATAAATATTTTCAATACTCTGTTGACGATAACAACGGGCAACTAATGCTAAGACTAAGAAAATGAAAACAATCTATAATCACATCTGAAAAATTAACGCTTTGAATTTCTCACCCATTCCACATTTTTTTTTTAACACTGAGAATTCAGATGTCTGTTTAGTTATATATACTTCGTGATACAATAAACTGATTAAGCCCAGTACAGAGTATTAAAATGTATTTGACAAAAAACTGCATGCTTATATATAGTCATGATGTGCCTATATATGGTCATGATGTGATGTCATCATGACCGTATTAAGACATGTTACATGCGTTTGTCAAATAAAATGTGGTAGTCTTGACATATCTTGTTTTGTTTTTTAAAATTCTAAACAGTTCTAAATACTACCGCATTTTATCGGAATAAAACTGTTGTATGTTCATACAGTCATGTGCCTATAGGCCTATATGGTTATGATGTCATCATCATCATTTAGAAACATCACACATATTTGTCAAATAAAAGTTGGTAATCTAGACAGGGCTTAACACTTAAAAAAAAAATTCTATTACACGGTTCCACATCTACATAATAAAACTTGATATATTAAGATTACTTTCTAAAATTAGTATATACAGTACAATACCATAGCCGTAGTAATACCCCAATCCCCTCCCCCCCCCCACCACACACACACCCCACACCTTTATGATAATAAGATAAACAAAATAATTTTAGCTACCTAACATACATTTATTTACACACACAAAAACAAAAGAAGCCACTAAAATTTGGTTGAACCATACATTGATAAACGTCTAAACAATACAC